GCATCTACATTCCAGTCGGACTCAGTGTGGACTGGAGCTTGGAGGTCATCAACACTCCTTTCAGACTCTGTGTGGACTTGAAATTGGAGGGCATCAACCCTCCTTTCAGACTCTGTGTGGACTTGAGCTTGGAGGGCATCAACACTCCAGTCGGACCCAGTGTGGACTGGAGCTTGGAAGGCATCAACGCTCCAGTCAGACATGGCGCGGACTGGAGCTTGGAAGGCATCAACGCTCCAGTCAGACATGGCGCGGACTGGAGCTTGGAAGGCATCAACGCTCCAGTCAGACATGGCGCGGACTGGAGCTTGGAAGGCATCAACGCTCCAGTCAGACTCAATGCGGTCCGGAGCTTGGAGGGCATCAACGCTCCAGTCAGACATGGCGCGGACTGGCGCTTGGAGGGCATCAACGCTCCAGTCAGTCATGGCGAGGAGTGTAGCTTGGAGGGCATCAACGCTCCAGTCAGACATGGCGCGGACTGGCGCTTGGAGGGCATCAACGCTCCAGTCAGTCATGGCGAGGAGTGTAGCTTGGAGGGCATCAACGCTCCAGTCAGACATGGCGCGGACTGGAGCTTGGAGGGCATCAACACTCCAGTCGGACTCAGTGCGGTCTGGAGCTTGGAGGGCATCAACACTCCAGTCGGACTCAGTGCGGTCTGGAGCTTGGAGGGCATCAACACTCCAGTCGGACTCAGTGCGGTCTGGAGCTTGGAGGGCATCAACACTCCTTTCAGACTCAGTGTGGGCTGGAACTTGGAGGTCATCAACACTCCTTTCAGACTCAGTGTGGACTGGAGCTTGGAAAGCATCAACGCTCCAGTCGGACATGGCGTGGACTGGAGCTTGGAGGGCATCAACGCTCCAGTCAGACATGGCGCGGACTGGAGCTTGGAAGGCATCAACGCTAAAGTCGAACCCGGCACGGACTGGAGCTTGGAAGGCATCAATGCTACAGTTCGACACGGCGCGGACTGGAGATTGGAGGGCATCAACACTCCTTTCAGACTCAGTGTGGACTGGAGCTTGGAAGGCATCAACGCTCCAGTCGAACCCGGCGCGGACTGGAGCTTGGAAGTCATCAACACTCCAGTCAGACACGGCGCGGTCTGGAGCTTGGAGGGCATCAACACTCCTTTCAGACTCAGTGCGGTCTGGAGCTTGGAGGGCATCAACACTCCAGTCGGACTCAGTGCGGACTGGAGCTTGGAGGGCATCAACACTCCAGTCGGACTCAGTGCGGTCTGGAGCTTGGAGGGCATCAACACTCCAGTCGGACTCAGTGCGGTCTGGAGCTTGGAGGGCATCAACACTCCAGTCGGACTCAGTGCGGTCTGGAGCTTGGAAGGCATCAACACTCCTTTCAGACTCTGTGTGGACTTGAGCTTGGAGGGTGTCAACACTCTGGTCGACTACAGTGCAGGCTGGAGTTTGGAGGACTTTTTTACTAGGTCTTATACAAAGAAATAGTACCTTCCAAAATGACTTTTTCTTTTTACATTTCTCCTTATTTCTTCCTCCTTTTCCCCAATTGACATCAAAAGCGCATTGTTGCACTGGAGCTTTTAGGGCATCACCATTCAAATCCAACTCAGTGCAGGCTGCAGCTTGGCCTTGGACACTGGTAATCTGGTCTAAAGAGGAATAACAACAACCAAAATTAATATGAATATAAGTTATTTTCATATTATTAGTGCCTACTCATATCCTACTACAGCTACGCTAGCTATAAATTATGAGTTATTCTTTTATGTTGTTTGGCAGGGCTTTACAGTGCAAGCATTTCACTCTCATGTGTAAGTGAAAAATTACTTTTGGCACAAAAGTGCAAGTGGCATATTACCAATACATTATGTACTTCACTAATTATATATTAACACTTTATAACGACTTTCATATAACATTAACAAATTCACATTATGTGCATTCATGCTTAACAGATCTTTAATTAAAATACATTTAAATAGATAGTTAAACAAGTTAACGCCATTTAAGTTTGATCTTATATTTTCATGTCCTCATATTTAAACATTTATAGACTACTGATCTGTTAGATGTTTTTTAATGAAAATTGTTATAGTGCTGCCTGATCATAGGCTGATTTGTCAAGGCTGAAATTGACTCAATAACTGAAAATGACTCTGGAAATGTGACTGTATCTATTGCCATGTGCCATGAATCAAATAAATAACCCACAGTTCAGTTGTTCAGTGCCTTCTTGAGCAAATGGATTTTGTATTATGTAATATGTCCCTACATTTTTTGCTGTGCCCTTTTTTTTCCTGGACAGAGAAAACGTCAGCAAATAAATGCATTTCATGGTCATGTAACATACTTTCAGTGTTTCTCCTGGACTGTAGCACAGCTGCATCAGAGCCCTCGTCCTTTTTCTCGCCCTCAGCTGAGCTAGTCTTCTGGCTGTATTTATCACTAGCTCTGCTGTTACCAAATAGTGCCTTCCAAACCCTCTTTATCTTTTTAAGTTTCTTCTTCATTCTTCCTCCTTTCGCCTCATCCACATCAGAAACCGGTTGGAGTTCAAGTGGTAGAAGGGAATGGGTTCCCACTGCATCGCTGACAAATTGTGGTGATGTACATTGTTGTAAATCGTACGCTTGTCCACAGTTCTCAGCTTTTTTGCAGTCTGATTTTAGCAATCTCATTTTCACTGCTGACTCTAAACTGCAGGTAAGCAAAGTTGTAGAGTTTGCAGTTGAGCAAAAAAGCAATAAGTTGCAAGTAGTAATGCGTTGAACACGACCAAAGTTGCAAATGGCCAAGTAATAATAAGAAAGAAGAGCTGCAGGCTCTAATACCATTACTGTCACTGTGACGTCACTTTTAGAACTCTGGCGCAAAGATTCCAATAATCCCTGTTTAGCGACACTCGTGGTTTACTAAGCACTCATTGGCCAGTTTCACTATGTGGGCGGAGCTTCAACTTAAGCGCAGAACACTAGACGTGTACTTGACACTGACAGTAAATTTACAAGGATTTTATCGGGACATCATCATTCCCATCCCAATTTATAATTAATAAAAGCATTGCTTTTCAGACTGAATCAGACTGAAATTCATTACAGCGATAAATAATTATCCAACACCATGCACGGGCGATGTCAACAACTTATTTGCAGTATTTTATATACATTTTTTAAAAGAAATGTTTTATTAGTCATTCCACCCCTAATTCTTTATGAAAATAAATCACAGTCCGGTAACACTTTAGAATATAGGGAACACATATTCACTATTTACTAAGAGTTTTCCCTCAATAAACTCCTAATTTGCTGCTTATTAATAGTAAGGTAGTTGTTAAGTTTAGGTATGGGGTGGATTAAAGGATCTAAAATATGGTCAAGCAGAATAGGGCATTAATATGTGGATTATAATTGGCTTTAAAAGGCGTGTATATTAATAAATGTGACTGTGATACTGTAATGACATGTGAAATTTTAAGTAAAGAGCGTGAAAAAACCTTTCAATCGCCATTGAATGTACACACCGTGCACATGAAGTCACAGTAATAATAACTGTTTGCGTTTGTAATTAGTTTTTTTGTTTTCAGAATTGTGATTTGCTTTGCACTTCTCGGCCACCATAGTACAGCTGGTTTTGTTCATTCAGTAAAGACATTGTGCTTTTACACATCCATATCTGTCCAGATTTATTGACACGCATAGTACAATTAAACAATACAGTGATGCAACTGAAGTGTTATTGTATGCATTTGGGATTTGATGAGACAGTGAAAAGTTGTCATTTATGCATGTCACTGCTGTGCTGAGATGATGTACATAACACAGTGACCCCCAAAAATAGGGGGTCATTTGGATATTTAAGCCACTCTCAAAAGCTATTAATGTTTTTGCACAAAATATGAAAATGTAAACATAAAACACATAACATTTAACACATAAAAAAGACAACTCTAAACACAGCACAGCAATTGGTTTCAAATGATAAAACCATAAATACAAAAAAAATATTTGGACAATTTTTGGTTGTCAAACATTAGTGGAACAGAGTTAAAGTAATGAACTACACCTGTGATGATGACTGACTGGCAGTTGGTTAAAAGTAAAAAAAAATGTTGGTTTAAGGAGACTGACAAAAACCTCAACGAAATAATTAAAACTTTCTACAATAAATTGTGTTTTACAAAGACGCAAAACTGATTTTTATCAGTTTGTTCATTCAGGGGTTCTCTATAAAATGGGGGTGATTTGGCACAAGTCACGTGTTCATTAGGTGCCTTACAAGGATTTGCCACTGACGATTCAAACATGAGTTTTGAGCAGTGTAGAGTAGCGCTTGTAGTTATGCAACGCAATAACAATAATAATAAGTAAGAAGAAGCTGTTTGTGTGACAAAAAATATTAAAATTATGTATCACTTCATCATTACGACACAATTTATTCTGTATTGTACGGTAGATAAAATACTTTGTTTACTTTAAATTACTTTAGGTTAGTAGTAATTTTCTCATGTGCCATACATACTTGCTAATGTTTGCATCAAGTAGGCCTACACTCTAAAAAATGCTGGGTTAGATACAACCCAGTGCTGGGTAAAATAGGGACAAACCCAGCAATTGGGCTGTTTTGACCCAGCGGTTGGGTTACTACCCAGAAGGTTGGGTTAAACATTTAAACCAACCGCTGGGTCAAAACAACCCAATTGCTGGGTTTGTCCCTATTTTACCCAGCACTGGGTTGTATCTAACCCAGCCTTTTTTAGAGTGTAGGCTATACCTATGTTGAAAATCAATAAAGAAACATTCCAGCTTATAACTACATCTGAAAAACAATGGTTTATTTGGTCAAACAATGTTAAATGTAGACACTTGTAATATAGCTTATATCTTCTCACGTTATGATACACTGAAATCTTGCTAAGTTGCCTTGTTTCTTGTCAGAGAAGTGTATTCAGCGCAATAGTCGACTCATCTAAAACTACATATCCCACAATTCCACTGTTTCAAACCGGAAGTCGTTTCACTTCCTGGATACTTTAAACTGTCAAACGAAACAATAGTGAGGATAAAGAGGCTGAAAAACATCTGCTGTGGATAAAGTTATGCATTTTCACTGCAGAAAGAAAGGTAAGTTGTCATTTTAACACTCTTCATTTAATGGTAGCCGAGTGCTGCGAGTAAAGTAGCTTTGCACGTAGTGTATCAAATACAATAGAATTCAGCTATTCTAGACTCGAAGGCAAACAGAGTATGTCTGCTTTAAGTTTTAAAGTTTTAAACCACAAAGGAAATGCATTGTTATTGTTATTGTTTCACAATCATGTATTTTGGGAGTAGATAGTAGTCAATATTCCACTACTTTGCAGTAACGTTACTTCTGTTTTGTTTTTTATTTATTTATTATTATTATTATTTTTTAGCCATATTGAATTTATATCTTAAATTGAAAAACTCTATGTCAAAGAGACAGCAAAGTGTGGATTTCAGATGAGTTATAACAAGGCAGAGCCTGTTTTAAATGCAAATGGAAGCGGATTGTAATTCCACTCACTCCTTCTGTATGTTTCTATACACTTGGCATTTCAAAGCACATTGTCTTCCTGTCTGTTGAGTGCTTTCTTTCCTGTGCAGCTCAGTGAGAGGTGACGGAGCTGCAGGCGCTCATGGAGGACTTCAGGAGGTCGTACCTGAGGCTGTGTAAGGAGGGAGGAACAGATGCTCAGGAGTCAGTGCTGGCTCAGCTGCACGACTCGAGGACAGGGACGGGCAGCTGCAGACTGGACCTGAGGGGGCAGAGCGTCACTGTGGACACCTGCAGCGTGCTGGGAAGAGTCCTGCAGAGTGACGCCGTCTTCACAGAGATCCTCCTCAGCGACTGCATGCTCAGTGAGGAAGGTGGGCGAGGAAACTCACAGAACGAAAACAAGAAATTTCATATCGCATTAACAAAAAAAATCCGTTTGTAGGACCATTTTTGCATTGTAACATTATTTTCATAAGAAAGAATTTTTGGGGAGTTGTAAAAATTACTCTTATATTAGACCTAAAAAGAGATTACAGGGCAATACAACACATATTAACACTATTCATCTGTAATGCAAAATTTTGCATTACAGAAAGGAACATTTGTGGGTAAAACATGCTTAATTGTCATGAAAATAATGTCACAATGCAAAAATTAACATGAAACTTAAAGAAAAATCTTGAAAATACAAAGAATGAAAATGGGTTTGCAGGACCATTTTTGCATTGTGACATTATTTTCATAACAAAGAATGTTATGGCAGTTGTACAAATGACTATGTTTGATATATTCACATGATCAAATAAATCTTTTAGGTTTTTTTTGCGTTACAAAAATGAGAATTTATTGGTAAAATGTGCATAATTGACATGAAAATATTTTTCGCAAAGCAAAACTACACATGAAAATACTGCAAACACAAGGATCATTTTTGCATTGTGACATTTTCATAAGAAATCATTTTTTGTGAGTTGTAAAAAATACTGTTATACAAGACCTAAAAAGAGAGAAATTAAATTACAGGGCAATACAACAAATATTAACACTATTAATCAATCACTTACAATATTTTGCATTACAGAAAGGAACATTTGTGGGTAAAACATGCTTAATTGTCATGAAAATAATGTCACAATGCAAAATAAACATGAAAATTAAAGAAAAATCTTGAAAATACAAAGAATGAAAATATAAATGAAAGTGGGTTTGCAGGACCATTTTTGCATTGTGACATTATTATTTATATTAGACACAATTTTATGGAAATTGTTACATTTCAGGAAGTGCTACAAATATTAACACAGTTAATAAATCATTTACAATTTTTGCACCATGCACATGAGATGGCACATGGGCAAAATATGCATAGTTAACATGAACATAATGTCACAAAGTAAACTAAATTTGAAAAAGAAACTCCAAAGAAACAAAATATCGCAGAAACAAAAAAAGACAGTTTGTAGGTCAGTTTTTGCATTGTGACATTTTCATAACAAAGAATGTTATGGCAGCTATGAAAAATTACTGTTATGTTTGATATATTCACATGATCAAATAAATCTTTTAGTTTTTATTTTGTTTGTTTCTTTTTTTTTTGCGTTACAGAAATGAGAATGTATTGGTAAAATGTGCATAATTGACATGAAAATATTTTTCACAAAGCAAAAAATAAACATGAAAATTCTGCAAACACAAGACAACATTTTTGCGTTGTGACAATTTCATGAGAAATAATTTTATGTAATATAAAAATGAAATGCAAAATAAACAAATACATGAATACAACTAATTGGAATTCTAACAATATATGAAATTTATAAATGTACTTATTACAACAAAATCTAATATCTAACTTCTTTGGTTTCGTGTGAAATATGAAAAACAGATAGAAAGAGTGGCTTTCTTGCCCAGTTTTGTGAGATTGAATCTTTTCGATGAGGGCATAATTATCATATTGATGTTTGCTTGAGTTATTAATATTTTATTACTAAGTAGTTGTGTGTAGTTGACACTCAAAACCACTGTTCCTGCCATCTGCAGGTGTCAAGCTGATACTAAATGGGCTTTGCTCCAACACCACAGTGAAAGTTTTGGATCTGAAGGTAAATTTAAGTTATGTATTATAATATATACTTATTTTGACTTCTAATTTTACTCCGTCTGTAATACAGTTCCTAAAAACGTCATTTCTTTTCAGGGGAACAACATGAGAGGAACAGGATCTGAGGCTTTGGGACAGTTGTTAGTGAGGAACAAGATCCTGCGCAGGTGAGTGATTTTAAGATTAGTTTCTAGCCTATAATTGTTCTATTTGTTGGAACTATTGTCATTCCTATTTTCCTCCACATAAAAAGAGAGACTGAAAATGTGTCTCAATGATTTAATCACAATATGTGAATGTTTCTTTGCCGTTTGTATATTATATAACATTCTAAATCATAATAAAGTGCCTTTTGCAACACATTTTACCTCTGTGGAAAATAAGAGGTTTTGGTGACATCAAATGTAAAGGACGTTATATATATATATATACACACTACCACTGGGTCTGTTAGGTTTTTTGTCTCTTCTGCTCAACAAGGTTGCATTTATTTAATCAAAAATACAGTAGAAATTGTGAAATATTATTACAATTTCAAAAAAATGTTTTCTATGTGAATATATGGTAAAATGTAATTTATTCCTGTGATCAAAGCTGTATTTTCAGCATCATTACTCCAGTCACATGATCTTCAGAAATCATTCTAATATGCTGATTTGCTGCTCAAAAAAACATTTCTGATTATTATCAATGTAGAAAACAGTTGTGCTGCTTCATATTTTTGCGAAAACCATGATATGTTTTATTTCCGGATTTTTTGATGAATGAAAAAGTAACATAAACAGCATTTATTTGAAATAGAAATCTTGTGCAACATTATAAATTATGAATGCCTTTACTGTCACTTTAAATTAATTTAATGCATCCTAAAAGATTATGGAAAATTATAAAATTTTAAGAAGTCTTGAACAGCGCATTATTTTTTTCTAGTGAAGCGCTACAATAATTATTGTCTAGAAATGTTTCATTTTGTGTGCAGATCTCAGATGGAACAACATTGGGCTGCTGGGCGGCCGATCTGTACTGGAGGCAATGCAGCAGAACCGCGCACTGATCAAACTAGAGATGGCTGGAAACAACATTCCCAGCGACACGCTCAGGGCCATCGGTGAGGCTCAACATCAGCTGTTAGACACATGTTAAACACAAAGCCTTTCCTTGGTTAAGCAAATTCAAATATTCCCAGAACAGTCCATGAATCACAATGCAGACAGACAGTCGACACTGAGAGAGAGCCGGAGCAGGACTCAAGTGCTCAGCAAAGAGATCCAGCTCCTAAAGGATGAGAAAAGCCGACAGGTGAGGAGGACTGGGATTATTCGGTTAAACTGTGGATGGATTGACAACTAACCTCCTTTCTCTACATGTGGCCTGAAGTTTCTTAGTATGATGGAGACCATTGATAGACAGAAAGACGAGATGGGAAGAAGCAGCAGGTTAGTGTCACTCAAAACTGAACCGATACACCCCAAAAATAATTCATTCACCCCATGTTTGGTGAGTAAACAGTGACAGTGGATGTATAACAGGTTTTGTATTTCTTGTAGAAATTCATCCATACGTCTGGGGCAGTTACAGGGAGTGCTGAGCGAGCAGAAATCATCTGTAAATTCTCTCACAGCCAAGTAAGCAGCCTTTTAAGAATTAATTCATGGCTAAAATCAATGCAACATGTAGGGGTGTTTTGTGAGGGTTTTGTTGTTCAGACTGCAGATGACGGAGGCGGCTCTAGCTCTGTCGGAGCAGAAGGCTCATGATCTCGGAGAGCTGCTGACTCGAGTTAAAATGGAGAAAGCCGAGCTCAGAGACAGACAGTCCAGAGAGATCAAGAAAGAGCAGGAGGTATTTACTGATTTTAAGCTGTGCTACACTTTCAGCTTTTAAATATGACCTTTTAGTCCTTAATCCTCTGATTATTTAAAAAGGAAAATAATGTGCATTTTAATTCAAAACTAAAATATAATTATATTGGTTATTAATAATTATTAATGAAAGTGATTATTGCCTATTTTTGTTATACATATGAAGTACTATTAAAAAATATGGGGTCAGTCACTTTAAAAAAAATAAAATAAATACTTTTATTCATCAAGGATGCATTAAATTGATTAAAAGTCACAGTATAAAGACATTTATAATGTTACATAGATTTCTATTGCAAATAAATGCTATTGTTCTGAGCTTTCTGTTCATCAAAGAATCCTGAAAAATAAAATGAATCACCGTTTCCACAAAAATACGAAGCAGCACAACTGTTTTCAACAGTGATAATAATCAGAAATGTTTCTTGAGCAGCAAATCAGCATATTAGAGTGATTTCTGAAGATCATGTGACACTGAAGACTGAAGTAATGATGCTGAAAATTCAGCTTCACATCACAGCAATAAATAACATTTTAAAACAGAGAAAACAGTTACTTGAAATGGTAATAATATTTCACAATATTACTGATTTTACTGTATTTTTGATCATATCAATGCAGTCTTGGTCTGCAGAAGAGACTTTTGAATAGTAGTGTATACGATTACAATGCTTGATCATTTAACTAGCTGCTACTTCATAGTAAATGATTTGTCATGTTTCTGGTGTGTAGGCTAGTGCTCTGAAGGAAGCAAAGCTTTTGAAGGAGGTGAACAGCTTGTCAGAGAAGAACCTCCAGCTTAGGAACAAGGTACAGAGGCCAAGCATTTCATATAATGAGCAGCTTGGGTGTGTGAGATTTACCCGGTCTGTTTAACCCTCACAGCTGGAGGAGACCGAACGCAGATGTAAAACACAACAGGAGCAGATCTTTGAGCTGAAGCAGGAACTCACAAACACCACTGCTGAACTAAAGCTGCGTCTCGCCCAAACCGAAGGTGCTCATCACTTCCAACTCGGCTATATGGCAAAATCCTCTGCTTTTAGATTGTATTTTAAAGTTTGAAATGCTTTCTTTGTTCCATTAGAAAGGCTGGAAATGGAGAAGAGAAGATCCAAGCAGGCACTTGAAGACATGGACAGTTTACGACAGAAGGAGGTGAAGATGTTAAACCCACCCAGAGTTTTGCTTAAATTCTTAGTTGCTGTTGCTGAAAGTTCATTGTCCTTTCGCTTCAGGTGGATCATCTGACAAGACACCAGGAGGAGAGTGAGAGAGCTCTTCAAGAACGCATCCTCAAACTTGAAGGACAGCGGATCCAATTAGAAGAAGTACTCTCATGTTGTTCCAAACCCGTATTGCAGTGTTATTTTAGTATCATTGAGATACTAGTTTTTTATTCATGTTTGGAAACACCTAAAAACAGATCCAAAACTAAAAGCTAAAACTTTATAAATCCTATTTTAAAAATAAAGAAATTAAATAAAACTGATAAATGCATACAACAAAATTTCAAAACTTAACATTTAAATGAAAAAACAAAAATAAAGCTAAAAACAATTCAAAATATTAAAGAACAAAAGGTAAAAGAGTATAATAATGATTCTAACATAACACTAAGCCAAACACCAAAAAAACAACTACATATGTGTGTACAACCACACACACATATATGTATATATATACACACACACATTTATAAATTCAATATATATATTATTTCATTTCCATTTAGTTTGTTGAAGTATTAAAATAACTCAAATTAAATAAAACTAAAACTTAATAAAAAAGACCTAATAAATTCAGACATAATTTAACTAAAATTAAAATAAATAACATACAAATAATACAAATCAAACAACAGTAGTTTATCAGTAATCCTAACGCGATCTGAACCCTAAACACGTTTTGCCAAAAAAGCCGGTTTTGTCCACTTTCAAGGCATCGCGAGTTTTCGTTTTACTGCAGAAGCCGACAAGCGCTCTTGTTGTTTTTGAACAGAAGCCGATAAATCCATTTTAGCGAATCAGCGCGCTGTATTCAGGTCAGGTGACAAGGCTACTTTCGTGCTAGCTGAGAGGAGTTTCGTCAAAGCTGACTAAAAGTGATCGAGGATGGATCATTTCGATTAACTTGATGAACCTGTGATATCTTCTTCAGAGCGAAAAAGGAAAATAAAAGCTGAAACGTTTTCACGGAAGCTTGCATAAGCTGCGTGTTACAATGATGAGAGAAAAGCTCCATGTATTGCGTGTAATCACATCCATACAGTTTATGATCACAACAACAACAACGTTTGTCAGGCGTCTACATTCTCATCTGAGGAGATTACACAGATTCAACAAGTGTTTTAAACTCTAAAACATGAAATGTGGAGTTATCTGCTTTTGCTATAAAACAAACTTTTAATATGTAAAAAATTTTGTAAATTACCTGTATTTGTTTAAGTTATTATTACTTAATCAAAACAACCCAACTGCAGTTTGATTTATATTACTTGGAATGCGCAATAAAAAAATGTGATTTCTGAAAAAAAAATAAAAATGGAGTTATCGGTTTTTGCAAATGAACTCTTCATACATATATACTATATGTCTATAGTTTTCATTCATTTCAGTTTTAGTTATTTTAGTTCATCAAGTTAAACTAAATGAAAATGTGAAATGTTGTCTTGGTAGCTGGCGGAAAAAAATAACCCTGATTTTAAATAAATGCATTTAAATAGATAAATGTAAACGAGCTCTTGTTGTATTTTTGAATCGAAGGACCTTGCAGGGAAAGAGCAGGTGAAAGTGGCAGAAGTGACACGAGTGCGAGTGGAACTACAGGAGCAGATCGGCCACCTGCAGGCTGAAAGAACGGCACAGGGCGGCCTTAAAGAGAAGATCGCTGCTCTGGAGAGAGAGATGAAGGGTACATATGTATTATGATTCTTTGTATTTTTGACTACAGGTGCATCTCAATAAATTAGAATGTCGTGGAAAAGTTCATTTATCCTGTGGTTCAGGAGTGACTTAACAAGAGGAATACGACAACTGTAGCCAAATTCCTTGACACGTCTGTGTGTGGTGGCTATTGATGCCTTGACCCCAGCCTCAGTCCATTCCTTGTGAAGTTCACTAAATTTTTTATTTAATACACGAGTTTCACAATTTGAGTTGAATTACTGAAATAAATGAACTTTTCCACGACATTCTAATTGATTGAGATGCACCTGTATATGTCAGGAATTATTCATGCAACTCATTTTACTTAGCGAGGGCTAAATGCCAGACTTGTTTTTGTTCTGTTCATGTGTGTTATGTAAGCTGATGCCTGTTGCAGGCTGATGGCTCATTGTGTTTGTGTTTTGGATCAGTTCTCAGTGCCACCCACAGAGAGGCCCTTCTGGACAAAGAGAGTGAGATCTCGTCTCTGCTTGAGCGGCTGCGCATTAGAGAAGGAGAGATCCAGCGCATACGTGAGGACGAGGCCCAGAGAGCCAGCTTCCTGCAGAATGCCATTCTCACGTACGTCCAGGGCTCTCCTCTCGCTCACTTCAGCCCCAAAAAGTGAACTCTTATGTGATTTTCCCACAGGTCTGTTATACACTTTCCATCAGGGTGCTTTGCAACTATGCATAATAAATCTACTGCATATTGCAAGTTTTTACAATGCTTTTACATATTTGAGTGACATGTTTTCATGAATTAAAAAAAAAAATTCTACTAAAATACTTTTAAGTGTATATATTTGGTTCGGAAAATGTATTTTCAAAAATTTCACTTTTTTTAATGAATATTCACTTTTATTTAAAATGTTGGAGCTCTTTCAAAAATGTGTCTTTTCAAAATCCCCAGTGTGCCATATTGTCCATCAACGCTCTTATATTACGTCACTTACAAATTGTATATTTTAAAAGGATTTCCACTGTCGGGAGTTCTTCACTTTTGTAATGTGTGTTGGCTATTAAAGCAAATGTTTTTTTTTGTTTGTTTTTTTTTTACAAAACTCTGAGCTGATTGTATGTAATGGAGTAAAGATCATTCTTTACGTTAGCTCATACACAAAAAAATAAAATGTTTTAATATTAAACCATTGCTCTCAGCTAAAATCCATAACCCATAATAACACATTCTCCAAAAAAGTCAATTCTCTGTTGTCCTTTCGCATCAAAATCCATGGACATATTTGTTTAGATCCGTTTTGGATTGTTTTCACTTGCAAACTGTGATTGGTCTGTGCATATTGCTCTCCAGCTGTTTGGACTCTCATTCTGACGGCACCCATTCACTGCAGAGCATCCATTGCTGAACAAGTGATGCAATGCTACATTTCTCCAAATCTGATCCGATGGAGAAAAACAAACAAACTCATCTGCACCTTGAATGGCCTGAGGGAGAGTAAATTTTCATGTTTTGGGTGAACTATTTTTATTCTTAATCCTCTGCCACTTGTACACTTATACTGTACTATAAAGAAATATTTCCATAAGTGAGGTAAGATCACGTGACAAACATCTAGCCTACCACTGTTTAAAATATTTAGTGTCTTATAACGCCAACTGTTACAATTACTATAAAAAATAGTTTATAGTAAATAGGACATATTTCGCAGTATTCAGTAGCTACTGTTCAATCCTGTACGTAGGCAATGACTCGACGCTATGTGGGCTCCTGTCCCTTTAAATTTCTTCGGTTTTTCCCGGAGAGACTCGGTGAGGTTCGCTGTCAAAGCCGCTGCTGCAAAGAGGGCAGTGACCGTGTTTTTGCAGATACCTATCGTTTCTCGGGTTAAGTGGGAGCTGTGGCATAATAAAATACATTTACGCCTGTGAAGTGAAGCAACCTGCCTCTCCACAAATGCAAGCTATTAAATGCGTGGTTGTCGGGGACGGGTAAGTAGTGTTTTGGGGAGCTGATGGAGAGGAGCATCCTTGGAAACCCCGTGTTGGGCATTGCAATTCATGCATGCCTAGTTCTGGCCTTTGCATTTTATTATCTGCTCAGCGTAATATCCTATATTTGACCCTAAGCGTGTATGCAGAATGCATGTAAAGCTAAAATATTATCGGAATCTGTATAGCTAACGTTATTGCAATGGGCGCATTACAGCGTGAGACATTAATAATTGTTTCTTGTCTTCGTGTATTATTTTGAATCGTAATGCACGTGCGGCTTGCCAGTATGCATTGTTTATTGGCCATTAAATGAACGGGCTTTGAACAGAAATGTGCCGTTTTTGTTCGCTATATCAGAGAGTGAATTATAATAGGGTGACCCGCGTTGAATGGCAAAAGCCTGAAGCAGAAACGCTATGGTTACCACTCCCTCGTACGCGCGTGAGCGAGAGTTTCCCCTGCTGTCTAGAGCTGCGAAGTCCGAGTCGTTCCGCGAGTCGGTTCTTTTGAAGAACCGGTTCAGGAACACGATTCGCTATTATTTTACGTCACGGCGTCATTGCGTGCAATTAAAGGCAATTATAAGATATCGGTTATATCAGATCAAATACAAAGACACATCAAAAGAAAAAGAAATGTTGGTAAATCGGCGTCTTGGTAAGTAATCAACACATTTTGTGCGCTATAAATAAACACAAAGAAAATATTTAAGGCTTCACAGTCATTTGCAGTCTGTTGTCATTTCTGTTGATGTGTGAAGGTAGTGTCCTATTTTTATCTTAGAATTAGTACAAGGGGGTTTATTCAATGCGCATTTGTGGATTATCATATAGCGCATATTTTTCATGTTTGCATTCTTTTAACGAAAACAGCTCGGTTCAACGATTCAGTCAGGTGGTGATTCGAGAATCGATTCGTAAACGAGTCCTTCATCCGACTCGAACGATTCTTAGCAGCTAGCGCTCTCTCAGTGCGCGTGTGGTAATGGAGCTCTCTGTGTGTGTGTGTGTGTGTGTGTGTGTGTGTGGCCCTCAGGCGAGTGTGCATCTGGGACAGGGTCTGTCACTATCTGACATACTAACACCCACATAAAGAGCACACTAGCAGCACTAACTACTTTTACTTGATGCAACCTTATTCATCATATAATGTTATGACCTAGTGCTCTTTTCACCATTTTTTCTGTTTTTTTTTTTAATGCACAGTAGTGCATCTCAGAAACACCTAGCTAAGCTATCTGGTGTGTGTTTCCTCAGGGCGGTGGGTAAAACCTGTCTGCTGATCAGCTACACCACAAATGCCTTCCCTGGCGAGTACATCCCTACAGTGTGAGTATATAGTGTGCATCTGCTCTAAAAGATAGCTGTCGCCCATCACCTACCCTCAGGGTCTGGCCATGGCCCGAGAGATCGGTGTGTAGAGAGAAAAACACTCGATTTATGAATGACTGCAGGGAGCTCTTAAAGGGGTGGTTCACTGGTTTTATTTCTAGGCTTGATTGTGTTTATGGGGTGCAGTTTAACATGTGTTAATGCTTCGTTTTTTAAAAACGCATTATTTTTCACATCATTTACCTTTATTCCAGACCTCTATGTCCCTTCTCTGAGAAATGGGCTGATCTTTTCCTGTTTTTATGAAGCCCCTCCCTCAGAAATATGCGATGGGCT